CAGGAGTATGCATGGAGGCTGAGGGGACAGTTGGGGACTGGGGGGCTGGAGCAAAAGTGGGAGGGAGAGTGGGAGGAGAAGAGGTCATGGAGGCGGGAGGAGCTGATCCCACGTGATCTGCTAGGTCTTCCAATGGGAAGCTTCTCGAGCGCTTGAAGCAGCGTTAAGACTTGGTGTGACTTGCGATTTAAAAGGGCCTCCTGCTGCAAGGGTGTGGAGTACATAGATGATTGTGTACCTCCCAACACATGGCATTGGGAAGTATGTAATATAAGTTTGTCTCGATATTGGTGATTCTAAGTGTAGAAACTTTGTTAAGGGGATGTCTGCCAGATTTCTGTTAAGGTACCCTTTCTCTTTGTGATTAATAAGTAATCTATGGAGTGATACTTTGAGAGTGTATGAATGCCCTACTGGCCAACAATCTTTCACCTAATGGTTTTAGAGTCCATGATGATCTTTACCTGAATTAGTTGCTGCTGCAAAAGGGTGATCTTCTAATTCTATCATTCATTCATTCATTCATTCATTCATATTATCCATTTGACATATTCTGTAAAGGAAACCTCTCCCTCCTTACTTAAATATCAGTGGATTTAGATTGTTTTTTCAATGTGTTATAATCCATTACTATCAATTTTAAAAAAAGGTATGGTGCATTTGAGGGCTTTTCACCTGAGATGTATGTGACATGGAGAAGGGTTGCAGGGAGCAAGTGTCAAAACAGGGCAACCCGTCAGGGGGCAGAAATCCCGCTGGGAGGTTGCTGGCTCGACTGGTGACAGAGTCATGGGAAGTGGCCAGACTCAGGCTCCGCTTGGAAGATGGGGTCACAGAGCTTGCTGGTGGGCAAGAGAGACATAGGGGGTGAGAGAGACGTGAAGTGTAACTGCAAGGGTTGTGTCTTGAGCCAGAAACTGCAGTTGTCACTTAATAAGGGAGACGATGGGGGTAGGAGTTCTGTCATTCCACAAATCTCATGTTGTGAGCCCACTGCTAGTTGACCAAGAGAAACGCAGACTTTCCCTGGATAACTTGAGGGACATAGGGAAGCATGAGAAGAGTCCTCACTTTTAGTCAAACGCTCTGCCCCACAGCTGGCCCCTCTAACCATTGCAGCCCTCAGCCCTGCTCCACGGGCCAGCCCCTCTAGGTCACTCACTATCTGCCATCTTTCGTGCCCAACATTCTCCTCCACTGGATGACTCATTTTGTTTCTCTACCATGGCCTCCACGTTCCAGAACCCCAGCCCCTCACTCTGAGGGGCTCTTCCCACATCCCCTTCCTTCTCTGCCTGCTGGCTGCTCCACTCCATCAAACCTCTGTCCAGTCTGGGGCCTCCCTGTGTGGCTCCCCATAGGCTCCCTGTCCGGGTCCCCATAGGGACCTCTGAACAGACACCTCAGTCATGAGCCTGGTTTGAGTTATTTCCCTCGGTCCATGCACTTCATGAAAATTAAGACTTCTACCTTCTATGGCCATAAAGACTTTTCCAGAATATTCCATGACAGTTGAACACACAGAAGATTTCTAGGTGGCTCTGTGACCTTAATCTGTATGCAGACACTCTTCCCTCTGATACAGCTGAAAATTCTTGTTATAAATGTGCTCTAAAGTTACTGGTTCCTAAATACTAGTCTACTGACAAGTGTTGGAGGGGTTGCATGAAAATCAGTCAAACCCCATCTCCAGAGTTTATGATTTCATGGTTCCAGAGTGAGGCCTGGGAATCGGTATTTAGAAAATGACCCAACTCCTCAGCTGTTTCCTCTCCAGCCAGGTGTGGGAACACTGCTTTGAATGTAAGAGGGGCAGGTATTTTAGCCCCAGAGAGGTTCTCTTCCTTCTTGCTTTAAGCAAAACAAATATGACAACTCTAGCCTACGGGGTGCCAGGCAGTCCGTCACACGTACTGGGTGAGGACAAAGATGGAGAGAATGGAAGAAAAAAACTTCTGGTCTCTGTCCTCAAGAACTCAGAGCCTATTTGGGTGAGACGAGACTGTCACAAATGAAAAACACTGAAGAGCATTTATAGAACAGATACAAATAAATGTATATTAATATTCTGCAAACAGAGAAAGTGTGGCTGGCAGGCAAAATAGAGGTAGAGAAAGGCTGAATTTGTGAAGGAGAAAGGAACATTAAAGACTCCAAGCTGGCAAGAAGTTCACGTTTACCTCCAAACTGTTGGCCCATCTGCTTCTTTCAACTAATATGGAACCATTCTTTGGAGAGAAGTACAGAGGCTGGGGGTGCAGCTGTGAGGCTATAATGGGAGTGGTTTGCACGTCACCCTTTTAAGCAGCAAAAACAATTCACTGTGTATATTGGTAATAAGCTGGGAATGCCTTAAGTGAAGGAAATCAAGATGGTGACCTGGAAGGCAGACAGGCCACAGATGGAGCTAAGGAAGTGAGATTTCTCTGTTGTTGCACCTGCTCCAGCTGGAGGCTGTGTTCCTTTTGCTACTACGGTGCATTTCCTTACCCTGACTGACCCAAGCCACATCCTGCGGCCATGAGCAGCCCACACCTCCCTCCTTTTCCAAGAGGAAGGCATTTTCCCCAGGCTACCATGGAGAACGTCTGTGTCTACAGTGGAGAGAGGTCTGTGACTAGCAGGACTTGGGGCCTCCTCTCCAATGCACCGCACCAGTGGCCCATCTCCACCCGGGAAGACCTCTCTACCACCTTCACAGACTCCCATCCTGTGGGTGGGCTGGGTTTCCTGTAACCCAGGATTTCCCAGACATGCCTGCTTGTCAGAATCATCTGGGATGCTTGCTAAAAATACGGATTTCTGGGCCCCAAACTGCAACAATTGAATCAGAATCTCCAGAAGAGAGGCTTTATAAAAAACCAATTCTTTAGGCAGCAGGGTAAATCCGGGAAACCTCACTAAGCCTTGTACCCTCTCTTACCCATGGGTGACCAGCTGCTGCCTGGGCTGAGGACATCATTCTTGAAGAAAAAAAAATTGTAATGTGTTTTTCTGTCTAAAGACCAATAGTGATAACAGTAAATACTAACCTTTATCAACTGTGTGCCAGGCTCTGTACTAAGGTATTTTTTTAAGAGTAGGAATTATATTTTTTCCAGTTTTATTGAGAAATAATTGGCCACACATCACTGTATAAACTTAAGGCATGCAACATGATGGTTTGCTTTACATTTATTATGAAATGATCGCCGCAATAGGTTTAGTTAACATCCATTGTCTTATATAAATACAATAAAAAGAAAGGGGAAAAATCCTTCCTTTTGATGAGAACTCTTAGGATCTAATCTGTTAATATCATAGAGCAGTGTTAACTATAGTCATCATTCTGTACATTACATCATCATGACCTATTTATCTCATAACTGGAAGTTTATACCTTTTGATGCTCTCATCCAATTCTCCCTCCTCCCACCCCCTACTTCTGGTAACCACAAATCTGATCTCTTTCTTCATGAGTTAGGTGGTTTTTTTGCTTTTTTGTTTTTGTTTTTAGGTTCCACATATAAGTGAAATCATACAGTATTTGTCTTTCTCTGTCTGACTTATTTCTCTTAGCATAATGTCCTCAAGGTCCATCCATGTTGTCATAAATGGTAGGATTTCCTCATTTTTTATGGATGAATAACATTCCAGTGTGTGTGTGTGTGTGTGTGTGTGTGTGTGTGTATTATATATACCACAAGATCTTTGTCCGTTCATCCCTCGATAGACACTTGGGTTGGCTATTGTAAATAATGTTGCAAAGAACATGGGGAGTGCAGATATCTTTTTGAGTTAGTGTTTTCATTTCCTTTGGATGTATTCCCAGAATTGGAATCACTGGATCATATGGTAGTTGATTTTTAACTTTTTGAGGAACCTCTGTTCTGTTTTCCATAGTGGCTGCACCAGTTTACAATCCCACCAAGAGCACACCAGGGTTCCCCTTTCTACATATCCTTGCCAACTCTTGTTATCTCTTGTCTTTTTGATGATGGCCATTCTGACAGGGGTAAGGTGATACCTTACTGTGGTTTTAATTTGCATTTCCCTAATGACTAGTGATGTTGAGCACCTTTTCAGGTACTTGATAGCTATCCATATATCTTCTTTAGAAAAATGTCTATTCAGGTCCTGTGCCAAATTTTTTTTAAACATTATACTTTTTTTAAGATTGATTAATTTATTAATTGATTTGAGAGAGAGAGAACATATGCACCCAAGTAGGGGGGGTGAGGGAGAGGGACAAGCAGACTCCACACTGAGCATGGAGCCCAACACAGGGCTCAATCTCATGACCCCGAGATCATGACCTGAGCTGAAGTCAAGAGTTAGACACCCAAATGACTGAGCCAACAAGGCGCCCCTGTGCCAAATTTTTTAATTGGATTATTGGGGATTTTGGTTTTTGGTTGTTGTTTTGTTTTGTTTTTGCTGTTGAGTTGTCTGAGTTCTTTCTACATTTGGATATCAACCCCTTATCAGATATATGGTTTGCAAATATTTTTTCCTGTTTCATAGGTTGTCTTTTCACTTTGATGATTTCTTTTGCTGACCAGAAGATTTTTAGTTTGATGTAATCCCACTTGTTTATTCTTTATTTTGTTGCTGGGTGGGTTGCTTTTTTTTTGTCTCATGTAATCTTCCCAATAACCTAGTGAAGTAAGTGCTACTGTTATCTCTGTTTTCTCAGAGGCAAACAGAAGGGAAGTTAAGTGACTTGCCCAACTGCAGCTAGCAGCTGCAACTGGCAGAGCTAGGTTGAAACTCAGGCTTCTGACTTCTGAGCTCCATCTATTTGCCATTACACATTACTGATCCTGGGACCTTGAATTAACTAGCTCCACACTCTACTTGTGAGCTTACCAGCCCAATCCATACCACCACCACTACCCCAATGAAAGGGAAAAAGAAGGAGTTGTAATTTATCTTAAAATCTCTAGTGGGTATATGAATGAGGAGTGATGTTAAGGAAAGCATAGAAAAAGGACACTAATCTCCCTCATGCTGGTCCTCAGGTACTGGAACTCCTTAAGCAACCTGGTGGCATCCTTGCTGAATTCTGTGCGCTCCATTGCCTCCCTGCTGCTGCTCCTCTTCCTCTTCATCATCATCTTCTCTCTCCTGGGGATGCAGCTCTTTGGGGGAAAGTTCAACTTTGATGAAATGCAGACCCGGAGGAGCACATTTGATAACTTTCCCCAGTCCCTCCTCACTGTGTTTCAGGTATGGACTCTTCTCTGCTGGGATGATGAGTGGGAGGGTGTTGAGTGGCGGGGTTGGGTTGTGGGGGAGAAAAGGTGGTGGGAAGCTTCACCCTTGCACTGGGCAACCAAAGCCAGCTTAGATCAGCCATGGAGGGTCCATGCCCAGGAGAGCCTTGAGTTCTTTCTGTAGTTCCCCCTACCCTTGGTCCCCCATGGAATTCCACTGTTGGATGGACTACTGGGGAAAAAAATATAATTGAGTAGTTTAAAAACTCTTGCTTAACCATGGAACCCTTTATTCAAATAAATTCTACATGAACACCCGAAGTACAAACAGAGGAAAGGAGACTGCCCTTGTTGGGGGAGGGAAGAGTGGTGAAGCTCTGTCTTTCTTACCTACCACGCTTGTCCCCAGAAGAAATATAACTAGCCCATCAAATTTGTCATTTCATAGATATTTTGGTGTAAAGCTAAAGTAGCACTTGTTGAAGTTTCAAAGTAGATTGATTTACAAGAAAAATAGTATGTGGATGTGGCCCAAATCTTAAAGATGGCACCCAAATGACTAATGTTGGGGAAAGCTGGAACAGCATAGTATTCTCTCAACAAACACGTTCACATTTATAAAAAGGCCCCAAGGAATGGCTAACGGCAGCCATCTTGTGCAGTCGAGTAGAAGAAAATACTTTGACCAGGAAGTCTTTCCAGTCACTTCTCAAATAGTATCATGCGAGGGCCCATGCACTTTGTCTAAGGATAGGGTCAAACTTGACCAGGTGATTAGCTCAGAGCCCCTGGGAGGAGAACTGGGGCCCAAGAGGAGGGAAAGAGGTGGAAAAGAGATTTTAGACAATTCTGTTAACATAGTGGGGCAGGGCAGGGGAGTTTTGGGGTTTGCTGTTGGTCTAACGCTGTGTCCCTTATTGGTGGGAATGTGTCATTCAGATCCTGACCGGGGAGGACTGGAATTCGGTGATGTATGATGGGATCATGGCTTATGGCGGCCCCTCTTTTCCAGGGATGTTAGTCTGTATTTACTTCATCATCCTCTTCATCTGTGGAAACTGTATCCTTTGCTCCTGCCTCCCCGCCCCTGCTGCCCCACCCTCCCTCAGCCTGCAGCACGATGCCAAATACGTGTGCCCAGCAGGTCCTGACTCGGGGCTGAAAAGTGTGGCTGCCCGCCCACAGGGCCCCCAGGCAAGCATGGGAAAGGTGTGCTCTGGGGAGAAAATGTGTCCTGTCCCAGAACCACCTTAGCCGTGGAGGCGGGTCTTGGTGAAAGCCTGGAGCTTTGGCATAGGTGGGGATGTAAGTTTATCTTCCTGAACCAGTTTGGGCTGTAGTGTTGCCCGACTCCAGGAGGCATGTTCTCATTATAGTCTAGGCGAACAACGCCCCCTGGTGTTGTGCATGGACAGACACTCAGATAGATTCCAATGTGAACACACTCAGATCTGGGCACCCTGACTGCCCTGGCCTCTGGCTGCTGGAGGTAAGAAGTGCCGTCCAGAGGAACTGAGCCGTCATCCTTGAAATGACCTTCATCTCTCCTCCCTGTTTCTGCTCAGTGCCCTTCCCTCTGAAGCCGCTCTCCAGGACTTTCGTCCCAGGCAGAGCCGGACAGGCTTCACCAAGCAGACCTGACAGGTCCTTGCTGATCCAGGCCATGGGCGGGTTTCTGGGATCTCAAGCCACAGGCAGTCTAACCCTGTGAGGGTTGTGTGCAGAGGAGATGGTAAAGTAGAAGCAGCTCTGGCCTAAGACTCGGGTTTATTTTTTTATTTTTTTTTATTTTTTATTTTTTTAAGATTCGGGTTTAAGTCAGGGCTTAGCGTAGTGTTGAAAGCTTGGGCATTGGTGCCCACAGACCGGCTTCACTTTTTACCAGCTGGGTAACCTCGGCAACTAAAGGCTCTCTACCTCAGTGTCTGTAAAACGGGGTGACGAAATATCAGTGCCTACTACTTAACAGGTCCTGGTGAGGTTTAACGGGTGCTGTATGTGAAGCCCCTGCCCGCGGTGCCGGGGGCCAGGGGCAGGTGTACACTAGAACCCTTGGGCAAACCCTTCACCCCTGTGGGTTGTGGCTTCCTGGTATGTGAAATGGTGTGACTGTCCGGGGGCCTGGGAGGTGGAGGTTAGACTTAACAAACGTGAAGGCCCGTGCAGCTATACTTTCTTTGATTCTGCAGTTCTCTGACCCACAGTGTTTCTGTTCAAGGTGGGGGTGGGGGTGGGGCGGCGAGAAGAAAAGGACAAATGACCACTTCGATTCGGAGTTCCCAAGATTCGGTCAGCTTCAGCTGGACACTCCAAGGGTCTTTGTATGTGCAGGCTCACATTAAGAGTTGGCACAGACATCAGGCTGCCTCCTCAGTACCCGGTTTTAGTGAACCGCTCTTAAGAACATTCTGCATTCTGCTAGAGATAATACTGTTTATAATGTCAATTACAGCCAGTCATCTCAGTGGGGAAACCAATAACGAAACCCAGCAATTAAGGAGCAAGGCAGGCTCACTGCCTCACTTGCTGCCCACTCCAGCCTGCAAGCTAGCCTGTTCTCAACCCCTCAGAAAACTCCCGGTAGCTAGGAGGGTGATGGGGAGGGAGAGGGGTGGAGGAGGGACACTACTAGGCTGGGAACCCTCGGGGTGAGTCACCATTGAGCTCACTCTGTGGGGAACTCTATCACTGCTTGTCCTGTACCTCCCTGGCCCCTGTGCCCATCAAAAACCCCAAGGCCAAGAGTCATTTTCTTTAAGAATGGACACAAACAGATATCCTACTGAATGTGTTCTTGGCCATTGCTGTGGACAACCTGGCTGATGCTGAGAGCCTCACATCTGCCCAAAAGGAGGAGGAAGAAGAGAAGGAAAGAAAGAAGCTGGCCAGGTAACCCCCTAAGCTTACCCAGACCCAGGGCCCCAGGGTCCCAGTTCTGGAATGCCATTCCCATTAGTGATAAAGAGAGGCTTGGGCACTGGCCCCTGTCAGCCATTCCTCGAGGGCACTGGGTTTGGGGCTTCCTACAGAAAGCTGGGCCTCTCTGCTAATACCTAGGCATTGCTCTAAAGTAGGGACCGTCATGAATTACAGTCTCTGTGAAGGTGCTGGATTTCCCCCACCTGTCTAAGAAGTTGGAGGATGCTCTTGAGAAGGGAGGTCATGATAGGTGGTGGGAGTGACGGATGCAGAGAGGAGGAAAGCAGCCATTCAGAGAGGAAATGCAGTTCCAGCTGAGTGACTCCTTTTCACTGTTTGATAACTCATCTCCAGTGTTCAGAAAGCAAGATAAGGCCCTGCATTGTCTTCTGTCATTGTCTAAATGGGACTGTCATAGGCCACACACCTGCTGGATACTGAGCAGAGTTTTCCAGGAACCAATCCTGAATCAGATCCAGAAACTTACTCTGATTCAGACAAGGACTGGAGCAGCTAAGAACCTGAAAGAGGCCAACTGAGTACTAGACAGAGCAAGGTGTGGCCAGGCCAGGCATTGTGGGCCCAGCCCAGTGGCATCTGGGATTGAGTGACACATGCCATGTGCCCTGGGTGAAGGAAGATGGACGTAGGTGCAGGGAGTCTGCTCCCACGGTCCCCAGCAGACCACAGGGTAGTCTGTGTCTTCATGTTTCCTATCATTCAGTAAACATTCCTTTAATTTTTCCTCCTGCTGACCGGCCAGGACTGCCAGCCCAGAGAAGAAACAAGAGGTGGTAGAGAAGCCAGCAGTGGAGGAGACCAAGGAGGAGAAAATTGAACTGAAATCCATTACAGCTGATGGAGAGTCCCCACCCACCACCAAGGTAAGAAGCCATCCCCTTCCAGGAGCTGGGAGGCCCATTGCTGGGGGAAGAAGGGCACAGTCTTCCCAGGCCAGGCACCCACGGAAAGGAGGGAGGAAGGAAAGAAAGAGACTCAGTGGAAGAAAGCCCAGGAGGGTGGAGCAGGAGGGCTAGCAATGTGAAGAGAAGGCCAGCTGGGTGAGTCCCAGCCTTCTGTTGATGCCTTAAAGGATATATGCAAGATAGCAAGGGTATATTTTTGAGTCAACAGCTCAGCCATTGACTATGATGCAATTTCAAGGCTACTCTAAGCCTCTCTAACTAGTGAATGTTTCTAACTGGATTCTTCCTCCTTCTCTCGTTTGGCTGCCTAGATCAACATGGATGACCTCCAGCCCAATGAAAATGAGGATAAGAGTCCCTACCCAAACCCAGAAAATACAGGTACCAATCCCACTGCCTAACCCTGAGATTGGGAGGTTGGGGGTAGAGATCCAGATTCTAAAGCCATATGGAAGTAGCTATGTATTAGGGACTGGTGTTTCCAGGTTCCCTCTACCAGTACCTTGCACTGCTAAATGTCTTCTCTCTCCGTAGTTAGGCATTACCAGTTATCACCCGGAGGAGAACTTTGCTCCTGGCTTCCTCATAATAACAACATAACATTAAATAAATTGTGTTTGAGCAGTCTTTTATGCCCTTTGGAAGGTGGATTCTATAGACATCTAAGGTTTTATTATATTTACGCCATAAAATCATTAACTTATATAATTTGCATGTTGCAGCATTACTCTTGCTTAATGATAATCATAAATCCTGACTCTGTCCGGCCCTTACTCGGGTGACAGTGCTGAGTACAAGGACTGCTGCCACCACAGATGCCCCACCTGTTGCTTGGTAAAATACTTTCATTTGTTATAAAAAGAACTCTTCACAACTCAGCCTTCTTATCTTCCAATACCTAAGTTGGCAGGCAGTGTCCTTTGAGAAGGCTTACTGTCAGAGGTCCTCAGGCCTCCCTCCAGAATTCGTTTCTCTGCCTCATGAAGCTCCACATCCCATACAAGCCCCGGGCTTGCCTCCCTGTCCCTACGACTGCTGCCGTCACTCTCAGCTTCAAGCCTGCCATCAGTTGCACACAGCAAGGGACCGTTGTTTTACTGGCATTTCCTTCTCTGTGGAGGTTGAGCTATATTTGGGTTGGTAACCACGTTAAGTGGCTAAAAACCTTCTACATGTATGAGCAAAGCTAGGTTTTCCTTTTGGTCTCCCCTCCACCGGTCCTCTGCAGGCTTGTCTGCAGTGCAGCCATCTTCCATTTCCCTTGGGAAGCAGGCTCTCGGCCATCATTCCGTCCTCACTCACCTCCCACCTCCAGGGAAGGAGGATTTGGTTTGCTGGGGATTGGACCAAGGGAAGAGCAGAAAGGGTGTCTGAAGCCTGCAGTCTCTTCTGGGTGGAAATTCTTACAGGATTTCAAAGACTAGACATGTTGACCAAAGTCAATGGGGAATCCTGTCTTGGTCCTAATCACCAAATTAACTCTAACATGACATTTTGGAGATAATATGCAGGGGGAAATTGCATATAGACTGGAAACTAATGATTTTAAACAAAAACTACTTAAAATCATTAGTTTCCATTTATTTTGTTACTGCAGTGGTGTTATTACAGTTCTAGCTTATAAATGTAGACGTGTGTATGGCTGGAATCTAAAATATTTAGAAGGTGCTTTAAAATATACTCCAGCAGCTCCTGTTGAAGCTGGGTATGGAGGGTCACCACACAAGTCTCTTGACTTGTGTGTATATTTTCAAAGTTTAAAAGGAAAGACAGTAATCAAAGGAATCCCCCTGGGCCCCAAGCAGAGCCAACCCCAGCTGCATACAGCACAGGGCGAGAGCACGGATAGCCCAGGCCTGCTCCTTCTACCTGGTGGTGGAGCAGCCACACCTACGACCATAGTCTCTAGTTTCATCATTCTAAATATACTAGTGCCTTTTCTCTTCTTCGTTGCCCTTTGAAATCAAAGAGAAGCAGGTCAGGGGAAAAAAAATAATGAGGACATTGTCACCATATTGGCCACTATAGAAAAGTCCCTCTGTTGACCCAGCTTTGAGGATTCTTGGAATGGTTTTGCTTTTTGACTGAAAAGCTCTTCCCACATTCTACTGATTTGTCAGGATTCTTTAGATTTTTTAGAGTGTCCCTTCCCCCGTCATGTGGTCACCCTTCTCTAGCTTCCTGCAGACCCAGCCCTTTCCGGGTTTTTCTTGGTCCCATGCATCTCGCACATCTGTGTTGAGAACTCCAGTCCATAGATAGTTGAGGCTGCCCTGCCTCAGCCCACCACCACACTCAGGCCTTCAAGGCCAACCCCCACAGCCCCCCATTTGTTCACCGTCCCTGCTTTCCATTTTCTCACCCAAGGGTGGTATGCTCTTAAAGCTGGTGGTTCCTCATGTTCCACCTTCCTCCAAAGGACCAGCCTCTGCTTCCTGGCTTCTCCTCCCCCTGCCTCTGCAGGTCACCTCCTGGACTCTAATATCAGGTGCAGCAGAAGTCCCCAAAGATTCCGCCCAGAATCACTTGGCCTGCTGTCTCTGTTCTTGTCAATCTCTCATTCCCACCTGCTCCTCTCTCTTCTGAACCAGAAAAGGCAAGGAACCTGATCTGCTATTGTCCTCCCAACCCTGCCCCTTCTGCTTTACAGCCTCTGGGCATCCCGCCTCTGCTGTGCCCACTTCACACAGATGCCCCTTGGGAGGCAGCGCTGATGAGCATCGCACCTGCCCCACTTACAGCCAGAGAGAGAAGGGGTAGGGCCAGAGAATACTCTCACACCTCCTCCTGCCCCCACTTCTCACTCAGGCTTCCTCCTCTCTCCCTATGCCCGTGACCTTCCACCCCCGGCCCAGGTTGCTGTGCTTGCTTGTCCAGGTTGCACCCAAAGGTGTGTGCCAAAGCGGCTGAGTGGGGCAGAGCTCCAGCCTGCGCCCCCCTAGCCAGGGCCTCTGCCCTCACAGGAACCCCCAGTGGAGGGGCAGTTTTCTGATTGGCACAAAGTGCCAACCAGCCAGCTGTGGCATATCAATCCTTCCCTCCCCGTTGAATCCCCAAAGCTCAACAGTTGGTTGGAGCCTCCCAGCTTAGTATACACTAAATTTTAGAAATATCTACTCACCTAGGAAGGGTGCCAAGATTGTGCTTTTACTTAATGGATTCATTTATTAGAGGGAACATACAGATGATAAGAGTCACTGAGGACTTAAAATTAACAAGGACACTTGAAAAAGAAAGTGAATGACACCAGAGAATGCATAGAACAGCACTGAGTGCTGTGGGGAGGTTCCAACTGCTGTAAGGGGTTTGAGCAGGAGCAGAGCCATGGGGTGGGGAGTAGGGGGAGAGACAGCCAGCCTTTGCGGAGAAGAGTAGGCTGGGCTGGGCTTGGCATCTGGGGAATGGGAGAGAACAGAAGTTATTTCAGGACCATACTATTGTCGTAGACAGGGAGCTGGAAGAAACCGTGGAGGTATTCATTCACTTAATAACTACTAATGAGGGTGGGAGAATGGGGTGGCTGGGTGACGGGCATTGGGAAGGGTATGTGCTATGGTGAGCGCTGTGAATTGTGTAAGACTGATGACTCACAGACCTGTCCCCCTGAAACAAACAATGCATTATATGTTAATTAAAAAAAAATAACTCCTAGTGAAACACCTATTGTGTGCCAGGCACTGTGGCAGGCCCCAGGGATACACCTGTAGGCAAGACAGGCAAGGTCGCTGCTCTCCTGGAGCTTACATTTCAGTGGGAGACAGACAGTGAGCAAGAAAAGAGGCCAACTGAAGAGGTAACGTCAGGTAGCAGTGAGCAGCAAGGATATAATGAAGCCAAGGACTATGTGAGCAAGTTCCTCGGTGGCATGGGGCTGCTTTGGCTGTGTGGTCGGTGAAGGCCTCTTGAAGGAGGTGGCATTCAGGCTGAAACCTGAATGAGGCAGAGGAACTAGACATATGGAAATCAGAGGAAAACTCTTTCTAGATGGAGGGCTAGCAAATGCAGAATCTCTTGGGCAGACTGGTCTGTGGAGGAATCCGAAGAGGCCAATGTGCATGGAGCAGAGAACAAAGGGGAAAGGTAGTGGGTGAGACAGGGACTAGGCAGGAACCGGTGGGGCAGGGCCTCCGAGGCCACCTGAAAGGTTCGGATAGTTGAAGACTCACCAGAGGTTCTCAGGCAGAGGAAGATCTGGTGTCTGAATTACCTTTAGCAAACTGTGCTGCATGGAAACAGGGCAGTAGATGGTCAAGAGTAAAACTGGAGGCAGTGAGGACGTTAAGTAGTGGTCCCGTGAGAGGCGGTGGCCGCTTGGGCCAGAACGATGATGCTGGAGATACGGAGAAGTGGCGGAACTTGGGGTGCATTTTGCAGGACTTGCTAGTGGCCTAGAAGTCAGAGAGAGAAAATGAGCAATGGGAGGAGATGAGGTTTTGGAGCTGAGCCAGCAGAGAACATGCCCGATGCAGAAGCAGGTGCATCCTCAGCCTTCTGTCTCTGGACGCCACCCACACAGCTCGCTTCCGGGGGGCGTGGCCTTGCCAATCATGCCAGTGAACTCTGGGGTCACACTAAAAACTGTAAGTCCCTTGAGGGCAAGAACCACAGCTTTGTGTTCAGTACGCTGTAGGCACTAGATGTTAGAAATAATATTTTTATCTGAATTGGCCATGAGCAAAATCACAGAGGTGAAAATGAGTATCAAATGGGGTGGGGGCAAGGATCACCAGGGATCAAGTGTCGGGCATTCAGCTACCCCGGAGTTTTACCTTTGAGCACTGGCACCTGCCATCTGGAAAGCAAGTCCACAGTGTGCTTATCCACACCTCCGAGAACGGAGATGAGAAAATAAAGATCCCCAAGGGAGTCCACTGGCATCTGGGAGCGGGAGTGTAGGTAGTTCTGCTGCCAACCCTATAAACAGAACTTTACCTGACTTTTCCTACTCTGCCAACCTCGCTCCTTATCCATAATACATGCCAAGCATCACAACTGTCAGATTTCTGGCCTTTTACAAATTTGGGTTTGTCCTTTAGAAGTGATTTCCTCTTAAACATTATGCCTGGAATTCAGCTGCTCTGTGTCTGAACCGACTGACTTGCTTCTCCCTAGCAATGGAAATCAGGGTAGAGCTTCAAAACAGCGAGGCAGGCTATTGCAGATGAAAGAGCATGAAAAAACTCTTCGCCAGGAACTCGGAAAACCACAAAGCTAGGAAATATGTTTTTCTATAAACATGAATGATTAAAGTAAGCATTAAATTACCTATTACCAAATTATCATGAATAAGAAATTGTTGGGTCATTTAGAGCAAAACTGAAAAGAATACAAACAAGTTGGGCAGGAATTTAAGAGCCTTCTCAGTGAAATTTCATTTGTAA